TTTTTACCCGTAAAAAACAATTAATTAAACGGAAGAAAGGGCAAAATATTTGCAAACACCACAAACACAATCAGAGGTGCAAGTACATACAATAGCTTCCTCAATTAGGATTGACGACAAAGAAGTAGCACGAGTATGCCAAACATTAAAGAATAGAAAATCACCAGGCCCTGGCAATATTCCACCTGAGCTACTCAAGTACGGTACAAGCAAATTATATAAACAGCTAGCCAGCCTTTTCCAAAAATGTATTAATGGAGAGAGTATACCGGAGTGGAGGACATCGTATATCACGACAATACATAAAAAGGAAAGTAAAGATGTATGTGACAATTATCGAGGAATCGCAGTCCTTAGCACCGTCTCAAGAGTTTACGGGAAACTCATTAAAAAGAGAATGGAAGATGAATTCTGTGATATGGAGGCCGAAGAACAGGCCGGCTTTAGAGCAGGCAGATCTACTATTGACCATCTGTTTACTCTTACCCAACTAATCGAAAAAAAAGTAGCACGAAATCAACCAATACATCTCCTCTACGTGGACCTTAAAAAAGCTTATGATAGTGTACCACAACAAAAACTCTGGGAAGCTCTCGAGAAAACAAATATTAGTGTAACCTTAATCAAGGCTGCTCAAGACCTCTATAAGAACAACACAAGTAAAATAAAGAAAGGCCAGGAGGTATCCAAGGGTTTCACTCTTAGCAAAGGACTCAAACAAGGATGCTGCTTGTCTCCTACTTTGTTCAAGATCTACTCAGAGCAAGCTCTGAAGACGTGGAAAAGAAAATGCAGAAACATGGGAATCCCTCTAAACGACGCAATATTGTACACACTGAGTTTTGCAGATGACCAGATAGTGATGGCCCAAGATTATGAAGACCTCGAATATATGACCCGTAAACTTATCGAAGAATACGAACTATGGGGGCTAGAAGTAAATATCAAGAAAACTGAATACATGTGCATTGGGGGAATTGAACAAAATCTAATCTTGGAAGAAATACAGCGAGAAATAAATCACTGTAAAAAATACAAATATTTAGGCATGCAAATAACCAACGATGGCAAATTAGACGAAGAAATTAAACATAGAAATAACCAAGGAAGACAAGCCATTAGACAATTAAACAGTGTACTATGGGATAAAACAATCTCAAAAGAAATAAACACAAAATCTATAACAGCATTATAAAAAGCATCATTACATATGGAAGTGAGGTATGGCCACTGAAAGGAAAAAACTTAAAAGCATTAGAAGCAACAGAAATGGACTTCTGGAGACGAGCGGCTGGAAAATCAAGATTAGACAGAGTTAGAAACGAAAGAATACGAGAAATTATGGGTGTTAAACACAATTTAACAGAGGACATCAGAGTAAATCAACTAAGATGGTATGGACACGTCCAAAGAATGGATGAACACAGAATACCAAAGAAAGTATTGAACTGGACACCGCATGGAAGAAGAAAGCAAGGTAGACCCAGATTAAGTTGGAGAGAAGGAATCGATAAAGACTTAAGGGAGAAGGGAGTTGAAGAAAACCTCTGGAACGACCGAGATAAATGGAGACTGGAAATCAGAAGACGGCGTAGAACGTTATAAACTGATTGATATAAAAAAATAATAAAAACAATTATTTTAGAGCTCTCCCTAAGTACCCTACAAATTTCTGATTTGCCGATTATTTTAGCTAGCTTTGAGAAAAAAATTAAAAAAAAAGAGTTTTCTACGACCAATAAGAGCCGAGTTAGCATAATTTTTTTTGTCTCCCATATCTCCTCCATTTCCGATAGCTCCTATTACAATTTCATCCTCTTCTGGGGCTTTGATATTTTTCATTTTTCTTAACCCTAGTCGAATCTCATCTAGCTTTATTTCTGGCATTAGTTCAGAACCTTGATTTATGATCTTTGAAAGGACTGTTTGTATTCCTGTTCAATCTTCTCGTTTACTTCCATGTAATTCCTTGTAAAACTCTTCGACGACCTGTATTAACTCGTCTTTACGTAATATTATTTTATTTCCCTTGTTTCTTAATTTATGAATTTTCTATTCGTTAGCTTTCTACGGAGAACTTTTAGACTGTTATTTTGCTGTATAGTACGTTTATTATTATCAGTTTTAAATACCACATGATTCTGCTCGATTTTTACTAATTTTTCTCCTCTCAACTAACCTGTGGTAACTTAGGTTAAAATAAAAAAAGTAATTTTTAAATACCCCTGTATACTACAAAGCTTTTCCAATTCATTTACCACCTTCGCAATTATTTACCCCTATATAAAAAGCCAATAATTCTGCTAGGTTGAATTTTGAACTAAAAAACAAAATTATAAAAGATATTTTTAATAATTTTATTGTATTGTACTTTTACTTCAACATTTTACTTTTTTTTTGCTATCTTCTTATTTTTCACCTAACACACTGGGTATAAATTCCTCACTTTACGTTTTAATTTTGGGGGCGTAAAGTCGTACTCTTTCGTCCGGTATAAAAAATGCACGTTTTCACATTTCAAGAGTTGAAAATCAACTATAGACGTAATCGTGCATAGATGAATGTGTACTGGTATTTACTATTAAAAATTACCTTAAAACTATTGTACTCAGCATAAAAGACACTCAGAGACAGTAAAGAGACACTATATTTGCAATTTATTGCCAAAGTTAAATAATAGTGAAGAGGGCGGTATCAATCTAAAACCCGATTAAGACTACAGCCCCCACTACTTGATTGGCGGTACACTTCGCTCAGGTCTATGGATGTTCCCAATAAATACTTTCTTTCTTTCTTTCTCCCCTTCCTTTTACCCTATGAGGGTGTCGGATTTGGGCTAGCTATTTTAATTTCCATTTACCCACCTCTTCGATTCTTTTTTGTTTCCTGCCATTATTTTCAATTCAATGTTTCAATGTTTTTTGCTTCATAAACTTTTCTTGTTATTTTATTGGATTGCATCCTCATCAGATGCCCATACCCGTTCATTTGTCTCTTTGCTATTTTGTTCATTATCGGTTCCTAGTTGGCCATTCTCCAATAGTCTCGCTGCTTAATCTATCCCATTTTGTCTTTCCAAGTATCATTCTTAGATGCCTCATCTTCATTGCGTTTATCCTGCTCTTATGTTTTTCCAGAATTGTCCAGTTTTCACTTGCATAGAGCACAGTCGTTATCACTATTGTGTTATATATTTTTATTCTTGTTTTTCGTATAAGTTCTCTTTTTCCCATTATACCCAATAAATACAACTCTTTTAATCTTTTACCAATAGGTGCGCAAGGCGTACCGAACCTCCTTTACAATTAGGTAATTAATGTAATAGACATAATAAAATTATTTCAATTTGAATATTTCTCACCTGGTAATTATTCTGTGAAATATAACAATTTCATTGTATTTGCTAAAACCTACAGTATTGTGCGAATTAATGGAATCACTGTGAATTTGTTTTCATTTTTTCAATATTCACAGTTGGCAACACTACCTACACAGTTGACAGCTGACCAAGCATTGAAAACATAACCTTACTGTGTGTTGGTGTGTTTGAGGTTTTAGGTAATTTCTTACCAAGCTTGTGTTGTTTTGGGGGATTTTGTACTATTTTGTGTTGTTTTTGGTTTTATTCCAACATGGATATTACGCCTAGGAAGCGTGAAAAGATTGTCACGTTGAGTGAACACACTAGTATGTCACAAAGAGAGATTGCTAGAACCTGTGGAGTGAGTCAGGGGGTAGTAAGCAAAATTTTGACGCGTAAACGAGAAACGGGATCAGTGGATGTGAAAAGGTTAGGAAAATGTGGAAGAAAGAGAAAAACAACACCAGCAGATGATAGATTTTTACTTCGAAAGAGCAAATTGGACCCAAGAAAATCAAGCCAAGACCTACAACAAGATCTAGCAGCATCAGCTATAGTGATTTATGACTCAACTGTTCGTAGAAGACTTTTGGAGAATGGTAGAAGGGCAATTCGTCCAAAGAAAAAACAGCTTCTAACTGAACGAATGAAGAAACAAAGGCTACTGTGGGCCAAAAAATACTCTAATTGGACTGTAGGCCACTGGAAAAAAGTCCTATTTACAGATGAAACCCACTTTATAGTTTAGGGACAGCGGTCGAAATTCGTCAGGAAGTCTGACAATGAAAAGCTTACACCATCTCATATTGATCAAACCGTAAAACATCCAGTCAAGAAAATGTTTTGGGGATGTTTTTCATACATTGGGGATGGATCTTTGGTGCCAATTGAAGGCATGATGAACAGCCAAAAATACAAATCCATGTTGGAAAAGTATTTGGACAAACAACTCCAAAAATGTCAACCCCAAGGAGGAGCGATTCTTCAACAGGACTCTGCTCCCTGTCAGAAATCAAAGGAAATGATGGCATTTTTCAAAAATAAGAAGATTAATGTTTTAGATCGGCCCGGTAATTCACCCGACCTCAACTTCATTGAAAATTTATAGGCCATTTGCAAAGCTAGACTGCAAAAAATCGACTGTACCACTAAAACAAAAATGATAGAAGCGGCCATTCAGGTTTGGTATCGAGATGAAAGGGATATCTGACAACTGCCAGAAACTCATAGAATCTATGCCAAAACGGGTAAACGCAGTAATTCCTGCCAAAGGGGGACATATTTCCTACTGAATGATGTAAGTTTACCTTTATAGTTTTGTCAAAATATAATTTTTTACTAAATAAATTGTTTTTTCATTAAAACAGCCTATGATTCCATTAATTCCCACAATACTGTACTAAAGCCATTTATAAACTATATTTTCTAAGAAATATATGGCCGAAGCGAATTTTTCTGAGATCATTTTCTTTAGGGTATTAAAATCTGACAGCCGCCCGCTGGAGCGAACTAGTATATGCCCGAAGAAGACGACCTACCCAATAGGTAAACTTTTCTCAACTAAAAGTAATAACACTAATAGTAACTTTAGTCTAACTGGACTAAAAAGGTAATGAAGGAGAAAATAAATAAACTCAATAAAATAAAATATTTAATTTTAGTATAAAAATAATTATTACAAAATAAATAACCCCTAAATATATTTATTATATACATAAATACATGTCTATGTTCTATTGCTAAAAAGACCCTTATTTTATAACAAAAACTTAGAATTATTTTATAATTCAGCCTTACTTAGATATAACCACGGACAATTGATGCAGTTAAACCGCCCCCTCCCCAGGGCCCTATTCCGACACTGTTATTCACAAATTTTAAAGACTCAAAATTGAGGTAGCATCATAAAAAAAATTCGGCGCCCAACCAAACGCCCTACTTATCTACTTTTTATCGTGACATAATCTGTATAATTTATATTGTATTTTTCACAATTTTTTTTTAAATTGAGATCTCCCAGAAATCTCCTTTACAACAATACTAATTATATTTCAGTCCTCAAGCTTGAAGGTGCGGGTAACTAAAATAATTCTATATTTTTAAATAAGTACACCAAATAGCTGCCAAGACTTTCACTATACGAAAAATCTTTTATTATGCCTAATGTTTATCCAAAATCGGAAGAAAATGTTTTAAACGGCATTTGAGAAAGTTTGAAAATCTCTGACGTAGTACTTAATTTGACTAAAGTATGGTTAATCTTTACATCTTCTTTATGACAAGTGAAATTGAGAAAGAATTTGGCATTCATTTTATAATGAAATTGTATTCTTAAGTACATATACTTCTCTTTTGTAGTTCTCATTTCTTTATTTAATTGATTATTTATCTTTCAGTTCATTAAGATTACAATTATAAATGTTTAAGAATTAAATACTAGGAATTACCTTTCCTAATAACCTTTTCTAACATTGGTGTATTCATAATTCACAAAAAGTATATCTACTATGAACAATTTCATTACAAATATTTTATACGAGTCTCGTTAGTAACGTATCGAACTATACAGGGTGTTTAAAAAAAGGTAACATCATCTCTAGGATAAGTAAAAAACTGAAATATAATTGGGGCTTACTTAGTAAAAAAATTTGTGACGCCATCTTTTAGGACGTTGAAAAAAAATGTTACAATTTTTTTACGATTGTGGCAACATTGTAATTCAATTTTATAAGACGATGTTTTGTAAGCTGATACATCCTATGAATTTGTTTTTATAACTTACTCTCATAGAGGGCGCTAGTTACACGGTTCGTACGTTCGTACCAAGTATTATTCAACATAACTTTTTACGGTTAAAATTGTTAATCAAAATTCCAAGTGAACCTAAACATCACACAATTTTACATACCAAAGGCACTCTTGGTAAAACTCGATACTCTATACCGCTTTTTGAATATTTGATTTGAAAATTATGAAGTAATAACCTTGTTCATGAATGATCCGAAAAATTTTAAAAAAATTGTCGTGGCCGAAAATATTGATTGTTCCAATTTGTTTAAAAAAAATTGAACAACTTTTCGTCTGGTCGATCTCTTGAACCTTATCTTGGGGTATCTCATGAAAGTGATTATTAAAAAAAATCTCATGGGAAGATTTATCTGAATGAACCCGAGCTTTTCACCTTGTCTAAATATCTATAAGGATGTCTAGGTTTCCAACCTTAAGTCGTTTGCGATTTTTTAGTATGTTTGGTGAATACATATTAAAAGAGAATATAAAACCAGATTTGAGTCCGTAAATGAACCACATTGTGGTGTATTAATCGGAAAAGTTGACATATTCATACATGACATAAGTTTATATGACATAAGTTTATATAAAAAAAATGGATTTTGTAAATCAGTTTACTCAATAAATTCTTGTGTTAGGATAAATATATTTTGATTACAATACAGTTTTCTAACCTTTTAATTATTGATCAACTGCCTTTTTATCATCAAAATAATCACTCAAAACCACTGAGCCTTTTTTTGGACCAGGTAAATAATGACATATAAAGTCTTTATTTATGCAAATTTTACAGTTGCAACCAATTACAGCACATTGCAAATTTCATAGCAATTTGGTTTTTTTCATACTATTTCATTAGAAAACGACATTCCTGACAGAAAAAACCGAACTTTTTAATACAATGCAATGTAAATTGCAGCAGAGTAGGACTCGATGGCAGACATGACACTTTGACAATGTGGAGGGGGTAGCTCAATATTGCTGCCATAAGTCCTGACATATGGAATTGCACAATGGGCTTTCAATAACAACATAGTCCACACACTTCAAGTGAATCTGAGAGCTATGGAAAGGAGAACGCTATTTACATCTATATTGATACATTGTGGATATTATATTTTGTTATATAATTATATGTATCTATAGCATAGTAATTCATCACTGATAATAGTTTTCCAATAGCCATATTGAAATATGGTAATAATAATTGTAACTAATTTATTAAATTAAGGAACTATTTTGGAAATTCATTTTTTATCAAGAAACCAGGTACGTCAACTGTCAGTAAATATTTTCTACCACATAATAGAATACAACTTAAAAATTATTATCTGAGCTTAATCTTCTAGAGTGGGCGATGTAAAAATAGAAATGATGAGCCTGTCACCACTATAAAAACTATTACTGCAATTGCAATTACTTGTCTTGTTACTCGGCATAAGCCATTCGTTAGCTGCAGTGGATCTGATTATCCAAGTAAATCTACTTGGATAATCAGATAGTGCTTGTGATCACAGTATAACAATTATTAATGGCTTTGTGGAGAGTATTTAAAGTAGACAACATACATATTTAAGTTTTATATACTTTTGTTCAATATAATAAATAAGTTCATATGATTTACCCATATTATAAAACTCAAATAATAATTTTTAAGTTATAGAATACCAGAAACTTTAGCTGCTTATCCAATAGTGCTTGGTAATGGTTTGAGATTAGCTACAGAACTAATTCTCCTAGTTTTAATTCCAGTCAGTCTTCTCTCGATATCAGCTAAGCTGATTCCTCTGGTTTCTGGCACAAATAAGAATGCGAAGAATAACGATAAAATAACAATAAGTCCATACATCCAGAAAGTAAAATGAGTTCCTATGCCTTTAATAATGAGCAAGAACGTCTTGGTTACTATAAATGTACATGTCCAATTGAAAGCAGTAGCAATAGATGCTGCGGGGCCTCTTATTTTAGCTGGTAATATCTCTCCCATCATCAGCCAAGGAATGGGACCGTAACCCAAAGAGAACCCAAGAACATATACCATGAAGCTAATGAGGGGTAACCATCCTAACTCCGATAGATTAGTATGTGCTACATCTTTCAAATAGAAATATATTCCAAGCACAACTAACGACACTATCATGGATAGACTTGAAATATATAACAAAACTTTTCTGCCCAACCTATCGATTAGCATCGCGGCAATAAAAGTTGATACAAAGTTAACCACACCAACAATCATTGTACAATATTTCTCGTCTAGACTTGATCCTGATTCTTTAAAAATTTTTGTTGTATAGAAAATAACCGCGTTTATGCCACTAAATTGCTGGAAGAACATTAAACCTAAGGCTACGACTAGAAGCTTAATATTTTTCTTCGAAAGGAGATCTAAAATATTTGCATTAAGCTCGTTTGATTCCTGCTGTATTCTTTGAAGATCTGCGAACTCTTTTTCGATGTCTGAATTTTTTCCACGAAGCCATTGCAACGATGATTTTGCTTGGGCTAATTTTCTCTTTCCTAGAAGAAATTTAGGAGTTTCTGGTATAAACCAAATCATCAAAAGAAACGGAATGGACACTATAGCCCCCACTAAAGCAAGTACTTGCCATTCGTAGAATGCTCCTAAGGTAAAGCAAATAAGTACACCTAAATTACCCAGAGCAGTTGGTAAAAGTCCTAGAGATCCTCGAACTTCGGGTTGTAAACTTTCCGCGGTGTAAACAGGAAGCGTTAGGGAGGCTACACCCACACTGAGTCCAATTACTATTCTGCCTATGTAGAGATGTATGTAGTTTGAAGCGAAGAAAACGAGTAGCCACGACAGCAGAAAACATACATTTGTTAACATGATGCTCCATTTACGACCAATGAATTCAATAAGAGTTCCTCCACCGAGACCTCCAAGTAGAGCACCAAGAGGCATAAAACTTGAAATCCAAGACATCTAAAACAAATAATCAGTATTAGTATAAGTCTTTTAATTAACACTAAACGTAAGTAAACTTATTAAATAAATTCAAGTATTTTTCTAAATAGTCATCGAATAAATATATCGAGAACGAAAACTTTTTTTAATATATACAGGGTGAGTCATGAGGAACTTTACATACTTCTACCATATGTAGAGTCCCTCAGGGAGCATATCATGTGTATGAGTGTTTATACTGTAGTGTTTATACAGCTCATTTGATTTTTTTAATTTTTGCAAGATACAGTACACTACTATCAAGCATTCGACTGGTATTAGCTAAACTAAAAAATTCCAGGACTGGCTTTGGAAAAATTAATTTAGGGATTCGTAATAAATATTACACCCTGTATATATATATTTTTTTAAATGCAATAAGTGATTTTCAAACTACATAAACAGCCAATGAAAACGACATATGCGACAATGTTGTCGCACTTTTATTAAATTTTTAGTGAACGATCAAATCTTACCAAAAATAGAACAACCATAATGAAGTATCAAATTGTAAGGTATTAATTTAAACAAATGTTATAAATTTCAAACATTTTAATTAAAATGAGTTCCTACAACATAATCTAATATGTATAAAATTAACATCTTTACTGTCACTTTGTATTATCTCTACGATAGAATCAATTGTTTTTCAATTTTAAATTTTTACTCATACTCATAGATCGTATTGGGGCATTATTTTCGATAAATAATAAATTAAATTGATTAAAAAGTCAAACCTCTTGTATGTGTTAGTTTTTGTTGATAGTAAATGATTAAAATTTTTTGTCAAATAATAATACATTGCATCAACTGTACTAAATAAAAATAAATCTAAAAAAACTTTGATGGCACACAAGGCAAATATCGAACACAGTAGTTAATCAAATCTTGCCCAAGTACTTTCGATCACAAGATCATCCACAGGGGCATTTCGTCAGTTGTGGCCTATCCAGCAGTAATAGAATGTTATAAATGTAAATTGGGACATAACAAATACACTAAACAAAGACAAACAAACACTTTAAAATTTAAGAAATGGAGAAGCTACATTTTATATAGAAGCCGGAAACAGAATGGCTCCAAACCTGGCGGAAATATTGAGATAACATGTCATCTCAATATTTCTGCCAGGCTGGGAGCCATTCTGTCTCCGGCTTCTATATAAAATGTAGCTTCTCCATTTCTTAAATTTTAAAGTGTTTGTTTGTCTTTGTTTAGTGTATTTGTTATGTCCCAATTTACATTTATAACATTCTATTACTGCTGGATAGGCCACAACTGACGAAATGCCCCTGAGGATGATCTTGTGATCGAAAGTACTTGGGCAAGATTTGATTAACTACTTTGTTCGATATTTGCCTTGTGTACCATCAAAGTTCATTTATTCGAACATTCAACCTTATATTGAAATCTAAAAAAGTTTAAAATGAAGGTTGGCGTTGACCGTTTGACGTTTCTTGATATTTTATACCCATTGTCATTATTGTCATTATCAATTGTTATTTATGTGTACAAGAATACATATTTCTTCTGTCATATCTACGTTAAGTACATTGTGTTAGTTTTGGTAGAGCTTTTGTTACTTTCGTTCAAAATGCCACATCAGTTTTCGAGCACAGAATATGCAGACATAATATTTGTTTATGGATTATGTAATGGGAATGGTAGGGCTGCTAGTAGAGAATATCGCAGGAGATTTCCTAATCGTCGAACTCCCAGTCATCCAACATTTGGGTCAGTTTTTAATTATTTGCGAGAAAATAGCACTTTTCCTAGTGGAACAACAGAGCGACATGTAGATGAAGCGCAGGAAGATGACATTATGGACGCCATTACTATGAACACTGCAATAAGCACTAGACAAGTAAGTCGAGAACTCAATGTTACTCAATCAAAAGTAAGTAGAGTCTTACAAAAAAAAAATCTATACCCATATCACATTCAAATGGTTCAGCGACTACATGCTGGAGATGAGATCGATAGGTTGGAATTTTGTAGATGGATTAACAATAATCGACCAACGCTATACAGGACACTATTTACAGATGAAGCCCAATTTACTAGAGACGGGATAAATAATTCACGAAATTCACATGTGTGGGCAGAAGAAAATCCCCATGCTATTCGAGAACGTCGTTCTCAGTTAAGGTTTTCGGTTAACGTGTGGATTGGTGTCATAAATAACCAATTAGTAGGTCCTCACTTGTTTGATCGTCCTTTAACAGGGCAGGTCTATTTGAACTTTCTACAAAATATTTTGCCGAATTTGCTTGCCAACGCGAACGTTGCTATCCGAGGGATGTATTTTCAGCATGATGGGGCACCCCCACACTTTTTACTGGCAGTGAGACAACATCTCAATAACGTTTATCGCAACAGGTGGATAGGACGTGCAGGTCCTATTTCGTGGACTTCAAGATCCCCTGATTTCAATCCCGTTGATTACCATATTTGGGGACGATTGAAGCAACTAGTTTACTCAGTGAATATTAATAACCGACAACAATTAATTGATAGAATTATACATTGTTGTAATACTATTAGAAACGATCCCCAGAGTATCCGTAATTCAATACGTCAATTAACAATTTGGCAACAAAAATGTGTACAGGCTGCAGGGTTCCATTTCGAAAATCTATTTTGAATTATTTTTATTTTGTTACCATTATTGTATCTTTTCCAGTTATAATTTATGGGTTTATCATAACTATGTACATAATTTTAGTTTTTTTTTTAAATTGTTCTTCGTTATTATTAGTAGTTACTGTTTTTTGTTGTGCAGTGACTCAGTTTATCATTTCAATTAAAATGTTTGAAATTTATAACATTTGTTTAAATTAATTACCTTATAATTTGATACTTCATTATGGTTGTTCTATTTTTGGTAAGATTTGATCGTTCACTAAAAATTTAATAAAAGTGCGACAACATTGTCGCATATGTCGTTTTCATTGGCTATTTATGTAGTTTGAAAATCACTTATTGCATTTTAAAAAAATATATATACAGGGTGTAATATTTAATACGAATCCCAAAATTAATTTTTCCAAAGCTAGTCCTGGAATTTTTTAGTTTAGCTAATACCAGTCGAATGCTTGATAGTAGTGTACTGTATCTTGCAAAAATTAAAAAAATCAAATGAGCCGTATAAACACTACAGTAAAATGAAATAAATGGTCAATTACACAAATCACCCTGTTAATTAATAAAGAAGAGGAGTTGACATTTTTTAGTGGCCACATGATATGCTCCCTGAGGGACTCTACATATGGTAGAAGTATGTAAAGTTCCTCATGGCTCACCCTGTATATTGTGGTTAATAGTATTCACAAATGTGTAAAGTCGGATTCGGATTCTGCAAAAAAATGTAAAAAACTGTAATCAGTAAGGTCATGTGGTAAAAATGTGACACTGATAAAAGTGGTGCAAAAATGAGACAGTTAACTCTCTCTCTCTCTCTCTCTCTCTCTCTCTCTCTCTCTCTCTCTCTCTCTCTCCAATGGCGCTACATTGACCTCCTCCAAACTATGCCTCCAACCTTGCGCCGATCTTCTCCAGGTTCTCACGTCTGGCAAATTTTGCGCGTCCGCTGCCACTTTATCCTCCCATCTATTCCGTTGCCTTCCTTTTGGTCTTGGGCCCTGCATTTTACTATCTAGGGCTCTTTTCGGCAATCTTTCTGTCTCCATTCTTACTACATAACCAGCCCAGCGAACTCTCTGAAGTTTAACGAATTCTGAGATCGGTGTCTCTTTGACCAGCTGGTAGAGTTCATGGTTGTACCTGGATCTCCATATTCCGTTTTCGTTAATAGGTCCAAATATTTTTCTTAGGATTTTTCTTTCGAAGAATTTCAGTTTTCTTTTTGTCTTTTCTGTCATCACCCATGTCTCGCATGCATAACATACTATTGGCCTGATAAAAGTTTTGTAGACCCTGATTTTCGATCTCCGGTATTCGCTCCGAGGGTTAAGAAAGTGTCAAAGCAAAATCGACTGACCTGCTCATGGTGGCGATTGTTTGAAATTTTATCAGGACGCTTTTGTGAATGGTACAATGAACATATTCATTGTACCATGGATGTTGATCATTGGTTGATCATGTATATATAACCTCACTTTCGCAGATATTTTAATAAATCTTTATTAACGACAAAACATATTTCTGTTGAACTATAAATGTCACTATAAATAAATAACTAATTAATTCTAAAAATTGTATCCGGATGTTAACACCACAAAATAAAATATTTAAGTTTAACAAAATAATCCCATAAGAATCAATACTAAAACGTCCTCACAAATCTGACAGCGTGTCACGTGACTGTAAATAGAGGGGAGACCCACGGAGCGAATGTGTTTTTGGAGCGGAACACATGATCGAGTGAAAAATAAGCTTTGTTTCCCTTTACTATTCTTCTTTGGAGTTCTGGTTATTCTGTTCCATCCGTGTTTAATGCAACTCTAATTCCGTCCTCTAATTCAACTGTGTGTCTGTTTCCCCTAGCTCTTGCCTGTGTTAAATTTTTTGTCTTTTGAATATTTATTTCTAGTCTGATATCTTTTGTCTTTGTTTTTAATCGTTAATATATTTCTGCCGCCTCTTCTGTTCTGCGAGACATAATGCTGATATCATAGGCATAGGCGGCAATATGTATTGGTTTATTTGTTAGGAGATTACTTTTTCCTATATTCAGCTCTCTTATCACATATTTCAAGGTCAGGTTGAATAGTGTCGGTGCCAGCCCGTCTCCTTGCTTTAATCCTTGGACTATTGTAAAGTTTTCAGTGAGATCATTTTGAACTCTGACAATAGCAACTGTCAGTTAACACTCTCCCCGAAAATAATATTTTAAATTATTTCGTCGTGCGCCAAAACGATTGTAACATTTTTTTTATTATTAATATATTAAATATTTCTAATTCCTTTTACACCCGTGCGATACGCCTATGATCGTGTATCGATAGCAAAATATTGTA